ATTGGAAAAAAAATCCTAAGATTCATATGGAAGCAAAAAAGACCTCAGATAACCAAAGTAACCCTGAGCACTAAAAGCAATGCTAGGGGGATTACTATACCAGATTTTAAACTGTATTACAGAACTACAGTCATAAAAACAGCATAGTACTAGCACAGAAATAAATCCATAGATCAGTGTAACAAAATTGAAGACCCAAATATGAATACATGCAATTTCAGCCACCTGATATTTGACAAAGGGGCCAGGAACATTCACTGGAGAAAAGACAAGTATGTTCAGCAAATGGTGCTGGCAAAACTCGATCTCCACCTGTAAAAGAATGAAACTAAACCCCTGTCTTTCACCTTGCACAAAAGTCAACTCCAAATGGATCAAACACCTTAATGTGATCGTTTATGCCATTGTTTTCACCAGTCCTGTTCAACTGGAATTTGAAATTACCATCTTTTAAAAAATCTGTGTCCTCTGTGAGTCAATGCTATGTCATTGTTAGTCTCTTCACTTTTCATTAGTGAATAAAGTTGAATGTGGAAGCTGGCCTTAGTTATATTACACGAGGTTTTTTTGGTTTTATTTTTTGAGACATGGTCTTGCTCTGTATTCCACGCTGGCCTTGAACTTGTGGTCCTCCTGCCTCAGCCTCCCCAGTACTGGGATAGTGGGCCTATGGTTACCCACTCCTCTGCCCCCTCCCAACCAGAGAAGATTCTTGGTGGTTGTGGTGATGGTGGTGGTTTTGTTTTGGATTTTGGTTTACTTTTGGGTTTTCTGAGACAGGGTCTCACTACATAGCCAGGAGTGTCCTGAAGGTCCTGTGTAGCCTAGGCTGGCCTCAAACTTAGGGCAATCCTCCCACCTCAGCCTTTTGAGTTCTGTGATTACAGGTTTGTGCCATTGTACTCAATTCAGATGAGATCCTGTTAAAAGGACTGGATAGAGGTGTAGCGCAGTGACACAGTGCTTGCCTAGCATGTGCCAGTCCCTGCTTCCATCAGCAGCACTAAAAAGTCAGTAACTGAATAAATAAGCTTAAGTAGCCAGGCATGGGGGCACACATATCTCTAATCCCAGTATCAGGAGGTAGAGGCAGGAAGATTAGGAGTTCAATACCAGCCTCCCCCACTTAGTGAGCTCAAGGCCAGCCTGGACCAAAACATTAATTAATTAAAAATGAGCTAGGGATATAGCTCAGAGTACTTATCGTGGTAGAGCATTGGAGTAATATGTGCATCGCCCTGGGTTCTGTATCACAAAAATGATAAATAAATAAACAGCAGCAATGCAAAAAGAAAACAAAAGTGATTCATTAAAGTGGTGTATATTTTAGTTTTTTATCTTTTTGAGACAGGGTCTCCCTGTAGCCCCAGCTGGCTTGGAACTCACTATGTAGACCAGGCTGGCCTTGAACTCACAGAGATCCACCTGTCTCTGCCTTTGGAGTGCTGGGACTATAGGACCACTACGCCCTGCATTGATGTTATATATTTTTAATGAAATGCAAACCTTTCCCTTTTTTTCCAGATACTCTGGATGAGTACTTTGAATACGATGCAGAGGAGTTCTTAGTCTCTCTGGCCCTGCTGATAACTGAAGGACGGACACCTGAGTGCTCTGTGAAAGGCCGAGCAGAGAGCTTCCACTGCCCTCCAGCGCAGTCCTGCTACCCAGTGACTACCAGGCATGAATGCAGCGACAAGCTGGCCCAGGTGAGACTGCTATTGGGTGTTGTCCTGTGTGTAAGCTAGTTCAAATTCTACCATCTCTGTTTTTAACATAGCAGTTATGATTTTCACATTTAAATAGAGTGTTGACTCTTACAAATGCTGCACGGCAGGTGACTGGCTGAAGTGGGGAGGGTGACAGCACTTATCATCCAGTCTTCTCCTTCACACTTGGCTTCATTGCTGTTTTTTGGTTTTCTTTATTTTTTAGAGTCTCAGCCCTGGCTTTTCCATCTTACGTTCTTATTCATCTGATAAATTAATGTTATAATTATTTTCTTCACATTAATTTTTCTCATATTTTAATGGGAGTATTTTTTTTGTTATGTTCCAAAATAATGTTGAGACATTTTGATAGGTACTGTATAATTTTCTTCAAAATTTTTTTCTCTTAATTATTAGTTCCTTAAATGTAGTCAAGATTTTTTTAAAAAAAAAGTGGGGGCTGGAGAAATAGCTCAGTGGTTAAGAGTACTTACTGCTCTTGCCGAGAACCTGGGTTCATTTCCTAACACCCATGTTGGGTAGCTCCCAACTGCCTATAACTCCAGTCCCAAGGAAAACCAAAGCCTCTGACTTCAGTGGGCACCTACACTGTGTACACACACACACACACACACACACACACAGAAACACACATACACATATTTTAATAATAATAATAATCTTAGGAGCTAGAGAGATGATTCAGCAGTGAAAGGCATGTATTACTCTTGAAGAAGAACAGTTTGGTTCGCAGCACCCACACTGGGCTGTAACTCCAGCTCCAGGGGATCTGATGCCCTCTTCTGGACTCTCCAGACACCAGCACTCACATGCACAAACTCCATATACAGGGGCTAGAGAGTTGCTCAGCAGTTAAGAGCACTGGCTGCTCTTACAGAGGACCCAGGTTCAGTTCCCAGCACCTACATGGTGTTTAACAACCATCTGTAACTCCAATGCCCTCTTCTGACCCCCATGGGTATTGTACAGCAGGGTACACTTACACACATGCAGGCAATACACTCATACACATAAAATAAAAAAATTAAAAATCTATATACACACATATTTTTAAATAATAAAAAATTGTAAACTTAAAAAATAATCTTAAAAAAATCTTGCCTCTTTTGAGCATTCAATAGAAATGAGTTTTTTATATTTTTGTCTTCAGATTTAAGATTCTTTTCTATGAACTGATGAAATTAACAAAGCAAGCAAGGCTCGGCCCACTCAGAGACCTGTCAGACATTGAATGTAGCAGTTCTTTTTCCACAAAATAGAGCAAAGATATGCTCCCCAAGAAAATTGGTGTCATGAATATTCGACATTGGGGCTGTAGAGTTGGTTCAGCGGTTAAGAACACTGGTTGCTCTTACAGAGGACCCGGGTTCGGGTCCCAGCACCCACATGGCAGCTAACTCCAGTTCCAGGGGATCTAATGCCCTATTCTGACATCCTTAGGCATTGTGTGACATGGGTGCACTTATATACATGCAGGCAGTACACTCATACACATAAAATGAAAATAATAGATAAAATAAATAAATATTCAACATTAGCCCCTGTACATTAGAACTCACTGGCATGAGAACATTTTTTAAATATTTAGAATTTATTTTTATTTCATGTGTATGAGTGTTTTGCCTGCGTGTATATAAGTACACTGGTGTGTATAATGCATGTGAAGGCCAGAAAAGGGCACTGGATCCCCTGAAACAGGAGCTAGGGACAATTGTTAGCTGCCACATGGCTGCTGGGAACCGAACCCAGGTCCTCTTCATGAGCAGCCAGGGCTCTTAACCACTGAACCATGTCTCTAGGGCCATGAGCACATAATTTAATGAGAAAGCCCAAGTAGCCAGGTCTATACGAGCATGAGCACTTCAGTACCTGACTTTTTTCTCATACAGATATCTGCAGTTGCAGTTTTGAAATTTAAATACAAAAATAAGCTGGTTATTGAGACATTTCTTTAAATTTGTTTTCTCTAAGTGTCGCCAAGCCAGACGAACCAGATCTGAGGTCACATTGTTGTGGAAAAATAACCTTCCAATCATGGTCGAAGTGATGCTCCTGCCTGACTGCTGCTATAGCGACGATGGACCTAGCACAGAAGGGACCGATCTGAATGACCCCGCTATTAAACAAGATGCATTACTGTTGGAAAGGTGGATCTTAGAGCCAGTTCCTCGACAGTAAGTTGTTAAACTTGGTTTGAAGTTGTCTCTGGTATCTCAAGTTTTCCATTTGTCCTACAAATTATTTTGGTATCTTATTGTGTCTTTGAATCCCTATATTTGTGTAGTAAAGTTGAGCTGTTTAATATGTCTGCTAATAATGACATCGATGATGTTGGTGAATGTATTTCTAGGATCCTAAAAGCATACATTCCTTCCCTGAAGAACTGCTGTTCAGTGTTGCCGACATTTAGACTTTTTCCTTCCCTTAGGAATGGAGACCGGTTCATTGAGGAGAAGACTCTTCTGCTGGCCGTTCGCTCGTTTGTGTTTTTTTCTCAGTTAAGTGCTTGGCTGAGTGTTTCTCATGGTGCTATTCCACGAAATATTCTTTACAGGTATGTTTTGGGATGGGGGAACAGTGTATATTCACACTGGTCATCTTACTGAGTGGCGTTTTGCCTGCTAAAAAGTTTATTTCTAGCCAGGCATGGTGTCACATGCCTTTAATTCCAGCACTCGGGAGGCAGAGGCAGGCAGATCTCTGTGAGTTCAAGGCCAGCCTGGTCTACATAGCGAGTGCCAGGCCAACTGAGGCTACAGGGAGACGCTGTCTCAAAAAGACAAAAACAAAAAGTTTATCTCCTTCATTTATAAATACAAGTCAGTAAAATTTGATGAGCTTTTTCTCAAAATAAGTTAGAGAAGTTCAGATTACATGAGTAGTCTTGTGGGGTTAAATCTTATTAGGGTGACTTGGTGAGTTAAATTTTGTGTAGAATAATATCCAGAGGAGTTTCCAGCATACTTTAGGGAGCGAGGTGGACTTAATGCTTGTGTTAAGTAGAAACAGTTATATGTCTTCTGGGTTTTGAATTCCTGTGATGATACTCTGGAGTTTTCACCTATGAAAAAACATAAGCACAGCTGGACATGCTGCTGCAGCCTCTCAGGATGCTGGGCAGGAGTGTGTCCGGCCTGGAAAGCACAGCAAGAGCCTGTCTTAAAAGAAAAACAAAACACAGAAGTGTCTGCATGTGTGTTCATGTGTGCATGCATGAATGTGGAGTGTGCATAAACCTGCAGGCTGCCAAATAACTGTCTATTTATACAGGTGGCTGTGAAATAGTCCCTCTTAATTATCTTGCCCAATGAAATGAGCTGAATCCACTTATTTACTAGTAAATACAAAAGCTTTTTTTCTTTCTATTATGGAAAATGTGGTTAAATTATATTTTTGAGCTTTAGTGTTTAAAAAGAAGACCATTTCAGCTGGGCATTATAATCCTAGCACTCAGGAAGCTGAGACAGGAGGATCACTGAAAGTTTGAGGTCTCTACCCAGGGGTACCTAGTAAATTCCAGTACAGCCTGGATTACCAAGTGAAATTCTGTCTCAGTAAACAAACAACAAAAAAGATCTTCTCTCCTGAGTGCAGTCTTTGTACCACCTGTGTTGGTTTTTGATGATGCACATGGTAAAGTGACCACAAGTGAACCTGGTGGGAGTTAATGTGAACAGAGCTAAGTATGTGAGTGCTTTCTGTCTTTAAAGATGATAGCCATTCAGCCTTGTAACCCACTGGTCTGCTGTTTGACTCTAGAATCAGTGCTGCTGATGTGGACCTGCAGTGGGATTTTTCACAGACTCCAACCGAGCATGTGTTTCCTGTTCCTAATGTCTCTCACAATGTGGCCTTGAAAGTCAGCGTTCAGTCCTTACCCAGACAATCTCATTACCCGGTTTTGACCTGTAGTATTCATACTAACATTGGCCTTTATGAGAAGAGAATTCAAGAACATGAACTTAAAGCCAATCAGCACCGAGGTCCTGGTGAACCAGAGCAGCAGCATAGTCCCAACAGTTCACAGCGTCTGTGTGACAAACACACATGGACCATTTCACCCGAGAGTGAACTGCATGTCAGAAGTGGCACAAATCCAGAGTATTCTGTGGCCATCCAAAACGTCAAACTCTACCCAGGCACAGCTAGCAAGTCCAACTATGGGGCGTCTCAAGCCGGTGTCCTGGGCTTCAGTGGCGCAGGAGAGGTAAGGCCACAGGAGTCATCGGTGAGAACTTTAAAATCATTCTCGGTAATGGATTCCAGTGTCTCCAGCTGCCAGAGCTCCTGGCAGTCAGTGGGGGAGCCCAACCCTTTAATAGACTCTTTGATTCAGGATCGACAAGACGTCATTGCCAGGATCGCTCAGCACTTGATCCACTGCGATACAAGTTCCTCCCGTGTGTCTGGACATCCCTTTAACACTCAGGACTCTGGTTCACTTAGCTCAAAACTTTACCGAGTTTCACAAGAAAATGAGAATGTGGGAAGATGTAAAGAGGCTTTCTCCGTTTCCTTTGGGAGTCCAGAGTTTACCTCCTCTGAAGACACTACTGAGGGGAAAATTCGAGTGAAATCAGAAACTCCGAGAGGTGAAAGCTGCATTTCTAAGGGTCTCCACCCTCGCCTCAGTATTGGAGACGCGAACCCTCTGATTGGCTCTCTGCTGCAGGAGCGGCAGAGCGTTATTGCCAGGATCGCACAGCACCTGGAGCACATCGACCCCGGGGCTCACATTCCTAGGCCAGCAGTCAGCAAGCATGACTCCAATTCCATTCCTTCTAAAGTGTTCAGGAGTTCATATGAAGACAAAAACTTGTTGAAGAAAAACAGGGATAATGTCCCTGTTTCTGCTTCTCAGCCAGAAATTTCCTTGTCGGGAGACAGCAGCAATGGGAGAAGCCCAGTACCTAGTAACGGCCTGGGTTCTTTCAGATGCAGTCAGAAAGAAAAGTCGTCTTTGAAACCTCAAGTAAGAACTCAGTGTCAGAACAGGCCTGATGAACTCCTGCAGGGCTCGGGTCGGGAGACCCAGAGCAAAGCTGCTAGTCTATCAACGGGCTCCTCAAAGAGATCTCACTGCAATGAAAATAACTTGTCTTTGATAAACAGATTGGAAAATACACCTTGTGAGTCACAATTTAAGGAGCAAGAAATTAGCCATGAAATTGACAAACAGTGTTCAAATAACAACAGTATTGGCAAGAATGTTTGCACAAATAAATACAAGGAGAAAATGAAAAATGTGAATTATAATCTAGAAACTTTTGATAATCTCCAATTTGATAATCCCACAAGTATTGACTCAAAAATAAAAGTTACTATGTTGGAAGTATCTGAATATTTAAAAAAGTATGAAAATAAGTGCTCAAATAAAGACTCAAAAAGGCCAAAGACATGTGAGCAAAATAGTCTACTAAGTAGCACAGAAAATTATCTCAATAAAGATACTAAAGACTTTAAATGCAAAATGTCAGACCAGCAAAAAACTGAGCAGGATAAGAAAGAAGAGTCAATTAATGAAAAATCTCAAAACTGTTCTCAAAGGAAAAGTACAAAAGACTGTTTGTCTACGAGTGAACGGCTGAAAACTACAGAAGTGTTGGTGGGTAGCACCTAATTCTAGCTGTTTGCTGTGATTTGGATTTTGTTCACGGGAGATCCAGGTCTAAACAACCAAGTTACCTGTTATCTGTAGAACATAGTGTGCCATAATAAGCTTTTCACAGAGCTACCGATATCTTTGCAAGTAATTTGCTCTCTTAAATGCAAATGCTGGGTAAATAGAAGAAGCAGATCACATATTTCTTTAAAAACTGCTATTGGGACTGGAGAGATGGCTCAGTGGTTAAGAACACAGACTGTTCTTGCAGAAGACCCAGGTTCAAATCCCAGCACCCACATGGCAGCTAACAACTGCTCATAACTTCAGTTCCAGGGGATCCGACAGCCTCTTCTGTCTTCCGTGGGCATTGCAAGACACGGGTGCACTTACCTACATGCAGGCAATACATGCATACACATAAAATTAAAAAAATAATAAAATATTTAAAAAAATAAAAATAAAGAATAAAAACTGCTGTTACAGCAGTAATGTTTCAGTGATCTCTGTTGTTTCAGTCTTGTGGCTGTTGTTCACCATTACCCACAATCTAAAAGGTGTGTTACTTTTGTATATTCAAAAGTATGTAGGCTTTTGTATTTGGTATGTAGATTCAGGAGTCAATGCTGGGTATAAAAAAAACACTTTCTGTGGTTCTCACAAGCTCCTCTCAGTCACATCGCACAACTATAGAACACTCAGTTCTTTTTGGTACTTTGCCATGGGGCAGGTAGAGGACATGGGGAAACTGAGGCTCTGAGTGTTGCCATGCTGGAAGCAGCTCTGTTCTGAGTGGCTGTTCTGGCGCCCTTTGCCCCTCCACAGGTGTCTCATAATTCAGGGCCCTTCTGCTGCCTCGTCGTGATCAAGGACAGATTTGTGGGCTGTGCAAGTCCTTGGTTCATTTGAATTTTTTTACCACTAAAATCAAGTACTTTTTCTAACAGAGGGCTGCCCTGAAACATTCAAGTGTCTGGCAAAAGCATAATTTTCATTCCTTGGATGGAACCGCAACCAGAGCCTTCCATCCTCAGACTGGATTGCCTCTTCTTTCAAGTCCTGTAAGTTTTTTCCCTCTGCTTATCTCCTGTCAAACATCTGCAAACATCTGAAATGGTCACGAATACTTTTCAGATTTGAATTGAAACATTTAAATGCGTTTGAAATACTTTTAGTTATTGTATTCTTTGATAGCACATTTAACAGCTTGGTGACAATATGGAAAAAACTAAAAATTGAATAAAAATAAAAGGTATTTTACTGGGATTTAAATTTTTCCTGAAGTTCTTTGGCTGAACATTTTAATGGGTATAAGTGTAAAAAAAATTAACGCCTTCATGTTTAGGAGATTTTATACAAATGTGTTTTGTTTTTCCATCTCTGTAACTATTGGCAACGCTATTATCTGAGGCCTAATACAAACATGTTTATAGTTTTATATACAGTGTTAAAAAAGAAAATTGTTTTAGAGGTCTGGGAATGTAGCTCAGCAGTAAAATGTTTGCCTAGCATGCAGGAATCCAGGTGTGGTGACATCCCAACTCTTGGGAGGCTGAGGCAGGATGACTACAAATTCCAGACCAGCCTGGGATACATAGTGAGACCCTGTTTCAAAAACTGGGAAAAAATAACAAGGTGAAAGAAGACATGGCTTTGAAGAAGAACTAATAGAAATTCTAGACATGAAAATTATTCTACATGAAGTATGCACACATGTACGCACATATATGCACATGTATGGTGCACATGGGTAAAATTGAAGAATAGAATCAGCTCAAAGTTTAGTGGGCAGGTAGAGAGATATTTAAAAAGCACCTAGATTGAGGGACAGAAAGGGAAGGAAGTGGTAAAATCTGAATGCTGCAGAAGGTAGTGACATGCTCAGTAAGTCTAGCAGAAGTTTCAAAACAGACTAGACATAGTGAGGAAAGCACCATGTTAGAGTAAATGAAGCAAGACAGCTTGCTGAAGGCATGCAAGCTACTACTGAAAACATTACAACCAAGTTCTTTTTCATCTGTTGTTGGTTTGGTTTGGTGCTAAGGAGACAGTGAAGTCATGGCTTTTGTTATGTGGTAGTAGGAGTTGAACCCAGGGCTTTATAAATGCTCTACCATTTAAACACACCTTCATCCCTGCCCCCCATATCTGGTTTTGTTGGGACAGTATCTCCCTGTAGCACCTGCTAGCCTAGAACTCACTGTGTAGACCAGACTGGCCTCCCTCTGTCAGAGATCCACCTGCCTCTGTTTCCCAAGTACTGGGATTAAAGGCATGCCTGGATCCTTCAGCCCTTTTTTTAAAAAAAAAAAAAAAAATTTTATCTTACTTTGAGACAGAGTCTCACTTAGTTACACAGCCTGGCCCTGAGCTTCTGATTCTCCTGCCTCGGCATCTTGAGTAGCTTACAGGCATGTGCCATTACACCCAGCCACACTGTTATCTGTTTCTTCTCAGACCAGTGCATCAGATAATTTATACATATTTAATATTGATTCTAGAAACAAATCTAGCTCTCATGTTACATGTGATTTTACCTTTAATTTACATTTAGGTCTTCCATTTTTAGTATATTTTGAGGTAAGTACTTTCCCCTTAATGTAATCTAGTATGTATGTTGATTGATAATCCAGAGAATTCAGAGTACTATTTTTCTTTTTTAAAAACAATTTTTTTTTGGTCTTTTTGAGACAGGGTCTCCCTGTAGCCCCAGCTGGCCTGGAATTCACTATGTAGACCAGGCTGGCCTTGAACTTACAGCAATCTACCTGCCTCTGCCTCCCAAGTGCTGGGACTACAAGTGTGCGTCACCACGCCCTGCTTCTTTAAAATGTTTTATTTATTTTTTTAATTTTTTTTAATTTTTTTGGTCCTTTTGAGACAGGGTCTCCCTGTAGCCCAGCTGTCCTGGACCTCACTACGTAGACCAGGCTGGCCTTGAACTCACAGAGATCCCCCTGCCTCTGCCTCCCGTGTGCTGGGATTAAAGGTGTACGCCACCACGCCCGGCTACTTATTTATTATTTTTATTCCATGTGTATAAATGCATTCCTGCATGTGTGTAAGCACCCATGTGGTGAAGTGCCTGCAGAGGTCAAAAGAGGGCATTGAAGCCCTTGGAACTGGAGTAATGGATGGTTTGTTAGCCATTCTGTGGCTGCTGGGAATCAAACCTGTGTCCTCTGTAAGAACAGTCTGTGCTCTTAACCTCTGATCCATCTCTTCAGCCCCCCAGTACTATTTTTCAAACCCACTCTCTATAAAGCCTTGGATCTCGTGGAAGTGTTGCAGTGAGTAGGATGCAAATGCTTCTACTACTTCTGTTTTTCCCCTTTTTATTTAAGCTAAAAATGTTAAATATATACATCCTTGAAAAATACACAAAGTTTAAAAATTAAAAATCACCTACTTAGCTAGGCATGCAGCCGGCCCAGGCGCCCAACCAGGCTTTAATAAAAATTTTTTTTTAAAAAAAGTAAAACTCATGCCAGATGTGGTGGCGTGCACCTTTAATCCCAGCCCTCGGGAGGCAGAGGCAGGTAGATCTCTGTGAGATCGAAGCCACTCTGGTTCACATTGTGACTTCCAGGCAGGCGAGACTAGGGAAATCCTGTCAAAAAACAATCAGCAACAACAACAAAAAAGCACAAGTCCTAGAATGAGAAGATAGGTAGTGTCTGTCATGCAAGCACAAGGACCTGAGTTCAAATCCCTAGTACTGACATAGAAGCCAAGCACTGTAGCACATGTCTGTGACCCCTGTGCTGGGAAGGCAGAGATAGGAGGACCCCTAGGCCTTGCTGACTGCCTGTGTAGCTAAACCAGTGATCTCCAGGTTCAAAAAGTAAGATTGAGAGCAACTGAGGAAGACACCTGACAGACATGGCACACCCAGGTAAATCACACACACACACACGCACACACACACACACACACACGTATGTACATGATACACATACAAAATAAAAGTCCTATATATCTTACATATATACTGAGATTCTATGTAAGTTTTAGTTTTTGGAAAAACCTGGTTGCATTTCTTAAGCACTTTTAAGTAAAAATATTAGTAAAAGTACTAGTACTAGTAAAAGTACCTACTAAAAGTACTTTTATGAGTTATCTTTGTTTTTCCTCCATATTAGTTAATAACATGAGAACATAATATGTGATAAACATCATTATTTGAAGTAAACTGTTATGAGAGAAATTTTATTACTTTAAATATATGCCTTGGGGACTGGAGAGATGGCTCAGAGGTTAAGAACACTGACAGCTCTTCAGAGGACCCAGATTGAATTCCCAACACCCATATAGCAACTAACAACTGTCTATAACTCTAGTTCCAGGGATCCAGTGCCCTCTTCTGACTTCCACAGGCATTACATGACATGGGTGCACTTACACACATGCAGGCAATACACTCATACACATAAAACAAAAATAGTAAGCTGGGCATGGTGGCACACACCTTTAATCCCAGCACTTGGGGGGCAGAGGCAGGCGAATCTCTGTGAATTCAAGTCCAGCCAGATCTACATAGCAAGTTCCAGGCCAGCTGGGGGTACAGAGAGACCCTGTCTCAAAAAGACCAATAATAATAATAATAATAATAATAAAATAAAAATAAATTTTATTTATTTGTTTTTATTTTATGTGTATGAGTATATTTATTGCCTGCATGTATGTGAGTGTACCCGTGTCGGGCAATGCCACGGAGATCAGAAGAGGGCTTCGGATTCCCCTGGAACTGGAGTTAAGGACGGTTCATAGCCGCCATGTGGGTGCTGGGAATCGAACCCAGGTCATCTGCAAGAGCAGTCAGTGCTCTTAAGTGCTGAGCCATCTCTCCAGCCCCATAAAATATTTTTTAAAAGATGCTTTGAGCCAGTGAGATCACTCAGCAGGCAAAGGCACTTGCTGCCAAGTCTAACAAGCTGAGTTTAATCCCCCAGATCCACATGGTGGGTAGAAGAAAACTGGCTCCTGCAAGTCATCCTCTAATCTCCCCTGGCATACACACACCCATACACATGCACACAGATACAAAATAAGTCAATAAAAGTAATAAAAAAAAAGATGTTCTTTGAGTTTGTAAGTACTTTGTTAATTTATAAAAATAGTCTATTTTAAAGATACAAGTGATTATTTTCCTTTAGGTTCCTCAAAGAAAAACACAGTCAGGTTGCTTTGACCTGGACACATCGCTGCTGCACCTGAAAAGCTTGTCCTCCAAAAGGTAATTACCCCAAGGTGGACTGTGTGAAACAGAATTGCACAATAAATTGCAATAAATCCAAGTCAAAATTGTAATAGAAATCTTATCTTCATTCTGTGCACACACAGTCATTAAGTAAGGCTTGCTGGGACGGCCAGGCCTGGTGACGCTAATCACAGCACTCAGGAGGCAGAAACAGGTGAATTGTTGTGAGATCAAGGCCAGCCTGGTCCAGGCCAGCTGGAGCTACAGGGAGACCCTGTCTCAAAACACCAAAAGAAAAAAAAAAAAAAAAAAAAGACAGAAAAGGAGACCATGAGCCACACTGTGTACGAGTCACCATAACCATAAACACGTCGCTTAAGTGTTTAAACCGACTTACTCACTTCTGATTCTTAACCTACCCACTCTCCCTCCTTCCCTCCATTTTATTTTCTTTTTCTTTGTTGGTGCTTGGATCTAACCTAGTGCTTCTTATGTAGACAGGTTTTTTTTATCACTAACTCATCTCTGCCCTATGATAATATTCACATAATTTTGCCTTTATACTCTCAGCTAAAAATGGTGATTGATGTAGAATTCTGCATATAATACATTTACAATAGCTTCCACTACATGAAATATAAAGTATACCTTTAAAATAAACCTTAGCCGGACGTGGTGGCACACGCCTTTAATCCCAGCACTGGGAGGCAGAGGCAGGCAGATCTCTGGAAGTTCAAGGCCAGCCTGGTCTACATAGTGAGTTCCAGGACAGCTGGGGCTACAGGGAAACCCTGTCTCAAAAAGACTAAAAAATAAATAAATAAATAAAATAAGCCTTTTAGAATATTGCTGGGCATGGTGGAGCATGCCTTTGGTCCCAGCATCCAGGAGGCAGAGGCAGGCGAATCTTTGTGAGATCAAGGCCAGCCTGATCTATATAGCAAGTTCCAGGTCAGCTGGGGATACAGGGAGACCCTGTCTCAAAAAGACCAAAAAAATAAAAGGGGTGGGGGGTTGGAAAGATGGCTTATCAATTAAGAGCACTGATTGTTCTTGCAGAAGATCTAGGTTCGAATCCCACAGCTAACAGTCATCTGATACTCCAGTTCCAGGGGATCCAATCCCCTCTTTTGTCCTCCACAAGCACTGCAGAACATGGGTGCACTTACATACATGCAGGCAGTATACTCATACACACAAAATAAAAATGTTTTAAAACCTTTGAGAATACTATATGTAAATTCTTTACTAATATAAAATCAAAGTGGAAATTTAAACTACAAATATTGTATTTTAATTTTTTAATATTTATTATTTTTATTTTATGCATATGAGTGAGTTGCCTACATGTATGTGAGTGCACCTGTGTCGTGCAATGCCACAGAGGTCAGAAGAGGGCTTTGGATTCCCCCAGAACTGGAGTTAAAGACTGTTCAGAGCTGCCATGTGGGTGCTGGGACTCAAACCCGGGTCCTCTGCAAGAGTAGTCAGTGCTCTTAACCAGAGCCATCTCTCCAGCCCCTTGTATTTTGATTTTTTTAAAAATCTTTTATTAGCATTGCTTTCTTTAAGAAGTAGCATGATTACACTGAAAGACTTTGTGTAGGTAGAGAATTGGAAAAGGAGTGAATGGCAAACTTACATTATAGGAACAGTGACAAATTTCACATTGTTGAAGCTTGGTAGTACAGTTTTGTCAGTAAACAGTATTCAAACTTTAGAGTAGAGATACAGAGTTTCAAATTTATATTCTAAACTCTAATTACAATTTTTTAGTTTGAGAATTATATCAGTTTAGGTATTACTTACTATTTCATTTCTTTTCTTTTTTTTTTAACTTCCCAGACTATGATTTTTTTTCTCCCTAGAAGTTCAATTAGGACATAGGTGAAGGCATACTGGGTATATATTTTTTTAATTTTTTGATGACACTAATTTTATTATGTAGTTTTAATGAAATTGTTCATATTCTCCTAATTCACTTTACAAATAAGTAAATGTTGTGATTAATGTGTTCTTTACTTTTTTCTTGACTTTTTTTTTCTGATAGTCCACGACCATGTGTGAACATCAAAGTGGATCCAGATATTCATGAAAAACCTTTTCTGAGTTCCAGTGCTCCGCCGATTACAAGTCTTAGTCTCCTAGGAAATTTTGAGGTAATATGTTTTGAAACTATTTTAAGAGTTAAAGTTCTTTAAACTAGGGCTAGGGTATCATTAGATCTTTACCTTTCTTAGTGAGGATGAAATAATAAATCTTTCTTTTTACAAAGTCTTGAAATTACCCCTTGTTTAGTTACATTTTTGCAAGAAGGGAAGGTAGAATTGTGGGCAGCAGGCAACATCTTAGAACTGGGTATCTGATACAGCAGGTAGGGGACTGAATGCAGGTGTGTGGTACTTCAGCACAGAGGGTGAATGGGCTGTGTTTTACCAGTAGCACTGACTGCTCACAGACATGGTGGCTGGTGCCTCTTGGCCCAGCTACTTGGAGGCTGAGGTGGGAGGATTACCCAAGCCCAGATGTTGAAGACTGGTCTGAGCAGCATGGCAAGACATCATCATAAAAGAAAACAGAAAACAGGGGACTGGAGAGATGGCTCAGTAGTTAAGAGCGCTGATTGCTCTTCCAGAAGACTTGGGTTCAGTTCCCAGCACCCACATGGCAGCTAACAAGACCTTCAGTTCCAAGGGATCCACCACCTTCTGATCTCCATGCGCACTGCACAACATGGGTACACTTAAATACGTGCAGGCAAAACACTCATATGCTTAAAAACTAAAAATAAATTATTTTTTAATTTTGGTCTTTTTGAGACAGGGTCTCCCTGTAGCCCCAGCTGGCCTGGAACTCATTGTGTTGACCAGGCTAGCCTTAAACTCACAAAGATCCACCTGCCTCTGCCTCCCAAGTGCTGGAATTAAAGGCATGCACCATCATGCATGTCTTAATTAATTCTTAAATGAGCATACAAAGCAGTGGGTTCCATGGTGGCATTTTCATGTGTATGGCATGCTTTGTTCTACGTTGACTCCCATTCCTCCTGCCAAGTTCCTGCTGGTCCACTTCTTCCCCCATAGGCCTACCTGCTTTCATACCATATACTCTTGTTGGTATCTCTTCCTTCTTCTTCCCTTGAACTCTCAAGTAACTTAGCAATAGAAAGGTGTTGCCTTAGTATCTTTGTAACTACTGCTTCTGCCAAAGGACCAATAAAAGCTTTGCTGAGGACCCATCCCTTGAGTTTGGTCCCAGAAGTTTAGGGGGAACTTGCCAAATAAATTTGTCTGAAGAATGGGAAGTAACAAGAAATTCTACACAGAGAAGATTGCACTTAAAAAGGCACACAAGCAACAGTAGCAAAAGATCATGGTGAGATTAGAATGCAGATCATGACAGGGCATATGAGTCCCTAGGTTCAATGCCCAACAATCTCATGGGTGTGTACACACATCCATGTGCAAGCATGCATGTGCAAACACATGCATATATACATGCATATGTGTCAGTGTCAGAAAGCCTTTGCTGGAGCTGAAGCACGGGGCTCTTGGAGGAACTTTGGCTATGTTAGAGTTATCTAGAGGATGCTACCTTTGTTTGGAAGAGAAGTGGTAAAATTCTGACTTAGGGCAGTAATAGTGGCAGTGGACATGGCCGTGAGACTGACAGGTGAATTAACAGAATATGGATCAAACTGATGACAAGCCAGGGATGTAGTCTAGAAGGTTGGTTTGACAAACATTTGGTCTTGTCTTTTAGACTGGGGAACTTTAGACTTGCTGAGGTGTTGCTGAGACTACCCAGACAGAATCATCTGGTTTGCAGCATTCCTTCTGAAATGGTCATTTAACTGAAGTAATGCTGCTCATATCTCCTGGTGTTTGAATCTATATATAGATGTATGTATGTGCAAGAAGGCTTGTGAAAGGCTTAAAAAAATGCTTCTCATGCCAGGTGTGGTGATGCACGCCTTTAATCCCAGCACTGGGAGGCAGAGGCAGGCGGATCTCTGTGAGTTCAAGGCCAGCCTGGTTTGCATAGCAAGTTCCAGGTCAGCTGGGGCTACAGGGAGACCCAGTCTCAAAAAGACCAAAAAATAAAAAAACAGTTGCCTCAGTGGCAAACTTTGGGTAGATGAACAGGGGGTGTCTCTACTGTTTGTATTTCTGTACTTTGACATTTCTTTCTAGTGTGTATTTTTTATTCTAATTAAATGAAAAAAATACTATACCAGCAATTTTTTAAAAAGTAATTATTTCCCAATTAAGATGATAAATGCTTAGGCTAGAGAGATGGCTCAGCAGTTAAGAGCACTGACTGCTCTTGTAGAGGACCCGGGTTCAATTCCCAGCACCCACATGGTGGCTAACAACTGTCCTTGACTCCAGTTCCAGGGGAATCCGACGCCCTCTTCTGACCTCCTTGGGCACTGCACGACACAGGTGCACTGACATACATACAGACATTACACTCATACCCATAAAATAAAAATAGTAAAATATTTTTTTTAAAAAAGATGATAGATGCTTAGCTTCACTTCCTTCTGTTTGTTTTTTTTGTTTGTTTGTTTTTGTTTTGAGACAGGTTCTCCCTATAACCCCAGGTAGCCTAGAACTTGGCCTGGTTTCAGGTATTTCTTTATACCTAGGACTTTGAGAGGTTACTCTGAGGGGTGAATACTTTCCCTGGTAGAATTTTCTTTTTTTTAATAGGATCTCCTGTATAGCCCAAGCTGGCCTGGAACTTACTATGTATCCCAGGCTGGCCTCCAAATGTCTACTCACTATTCTCTTGCCTCAGCCTCCCAAATATTGGGATTACAGGCCTGTGCTACCATGCCTGCTCCAACTGGAGAACATAGTAATGTGTTTCTTTAAATAGGAAATGAAATTAGCATACTAACTTTTCTGTTTTTTCAACAAATTTTGTTGTCTTGTCTTGCAGGAGTCTGTTTTGAATTACCGTTTGGACCCTCTTGGCACAGTTGATGGCTTTACTGCCGAGGTGGGAGCCAGTGGTATTTTCTGCCCCACGCATTTGACTCTTCCAGTTGAAGTGTCATTCTACAGCGTTTCAGATGATAATGCTCCCTCTCCTTATATGGCAAGTATTCCTAACTGCATTTTCTGCTAGAATCAGCAAACTTGTGATTCATGTCTGTTTTGGTCCTGTCCTTGAAAGTGTGAGTCAGTTACCAAGAGAAAGTTAAGGACAAAATGCAGACCAGTAAACCAAAATGCTACCTCAGAATCTCTTTCTCAGCTAGCTCAAGCAGCAGGTGACCTCTTTTGTATTTGAAAATGATGCTGAAATCTACTGGTTTCTGCATGATTTACCACTGAGTGACATAGTAAGTCCATCTTGCTAAGTTCACACAGATTCTCAATTCCATGTGGCTGTCTCCCATGTGGCTCTTATCTGGATTGAGTTAGTAAGATCTGGTGACTTATGGCTGCAGGAGGCCCTTTCACTCCTCTTTCTCATGTTTGTCTTTGGCCCATTCCCTTTTGATTTATGGCTCTAGAGAAGACTGGTTACTTTGTGGAGAGTAAGAACACTAAAGAGGATCTAGAACAGGCTTGAGCCACATTCATTCCTATGATTTTACCTTTCTCATTTCTTACTCCAGCGGATTGTGGGTAAAACCAACCTCACCTGCAAAAGTAACTCTGAATCCCTGAGTATGTATCAACACTTCCCCAAACACAGAGGGAGAAGTGGCCAGCAGTGAGGGCTGTGAAACGTTTATGATGATTTCACATTAAACCTCATTGTGAAAAATGTAAATTCCTACAGGACTGGAACTGTACAGCCCTGGTCTCACCTGAATTTCCTGACCTACTATCTGGCCCAGTTGCTTCCTGCTTTGCCTTCAAGGCTTTCAAGAGCAGTAGTGACAAAGTCTCTGATTGTGAATGAGAGCTCTGAAAAGATGAAGGTATTTTTTCCTGATTGAGAGGAAGAGAGGCTGCACTTGGGGAGGGTCTGGATATAGCCACCTCATTGTGGGCCATTTGTTCAAGTGAGTTATTTAGGTTTACTTCATTCTAAAGGCAAAGTAAAGGTTTACTTCATTCTAATCAAGGACCCCATTAGTATCTCACACTTTGATAGAAAAGCGTAGTGGAGTGCACTCATTTATTTACGGTTTTTTTTTTTATCCAATACTGTTTACACTTATAGTAAGCCAGGAATGGTAGCTCACATGTGTAATCCCAACATTTTGGGATGAGTTTGAAGCCAACCTGAGCTAATAGAGTTAAAGGCCAGACCCAGAGTAGTGTGGGATCTTGCCTCAAAAATATTTACCCTTGTGAGTCATTATCATGAAAATATGCAGCACTAGTTACAAAAGCAGAGGCTCTGAGGCTGGATAGATGACTCAGTGGTTGAGAACACGTACTGCTCCTTCAGAGGACCCTGGTTCACTTTCAGCACCCATTTTTGACAGTTCACATCCAACTCCAGGAGGATTCAACACCTCTGGCCTCTACAAGCATCTGCGCTCACATGTACACACACACACACACACACACACACACACACACACACGCATGCATAAGTTTAAAAATAGAATAAGATAAAAAGCAGAGGTATTTCTCAGTGTTCAGAATCTATGCAATATCACATCCTGAGCGACCCCATGCTTCCTTTACACAAGTATACCATTGAAGTAAGTTCAGTACCACAGCAAATGCCCCTCTGCTGGAATTCTTAAAGATGCCTATGTTGCTTTACCAGAACATCAGGGGAAATGACATCACAATACATAGTCTATTACTACATAGTAAAAGAACTTGGAGAGATAAGGTCTAAACTGCTGTGATTGGTCCCTGACAAGCAGATGGCCACTGGAAAAGATAAAAATCAGCTCAAATAACTATCTTTGAGTGAAATTCATAAGCAGGAAGTAATCTGAACTATGCTTTTAAAAAATCAGAATAGTTTTAATCTTTCACTTTGTTTTATGTTTAAAACTGGCCATCTGGGTAGGAGACAACAGATTCTGTTACTGTTTCCACAGAGTCCAGATGTCACACAGACACTGAAGATGTTGACTAGATGTTGGGAAGGGTGTGAGTCAGTTCCTGGGTTGAGTTAGTTTATCCTTTTAAAAATGCCTGCCTTTGTATCACAGTGGAAGCCAGCCTGGGCTACATAGTGAGTTTCAGGACAGGCTGAGCTATAGAGTAAGACCTTGTCTCAAAAAACAACTAAAGACTGCCTGCCTTTTCTCTGAGATGGTCTTTATTTATCTATCTAGTACATTTTTTCCCTAAGTCAGTTTACATATCAGAAATGGGTCCCTTTTGCCAGTGACTGAATCCAAATATGAGACCACAGACCTTCCCTAAATTTGCTCTTCGGGGAAAGTTCTTTCTATTTTGATAGCTTAGTCTGTTTTCAGAGAACTGGTTATGTTTTCTTAGATGATATGTATCACAGACCATGAGAAGTAAGACACAGTACTCCTTTGTGGTACTCTAGTAACTTTGTGGCCTCTCACACAGATGGGAAACGCCTCCCAGAGGTAAAACCTTAGCACAGAAAATTTCATCTTTGTGGTATGATGATAATATAGGACTTTGCATCAAATAATTCCTTTAAAAATAAACTCTCCAGTTCAGAGTCAGTAAAAATGTTCTCCCACAGTTACACACCTCTCAGCTGTGGAAACTGTCTCCAGAGAAGCCAGGCAGAAAGGTCTAATAGTTGTCACAGCGGTAAAGTCAAGATAGGACTTGTGTAATTGTCTCATGTCAGGCCAGGCATGATTTTCTTCTGTTCGTAACTAAGCACCTCAAGGTACGCTTCCTTTAGTTTTCCACTTATTGTTCCCTACTGGTTTTTGTTGTTTTTTTATCTTTTAACACAGGGCCTCACATAGGCCAAGACAGCCTTAAACTCCTGGTCCTCCTGCCTCCACCTCCTGAGTGCTGGGATTATAGGTGTGCCATTACTCTCACAATGTATATTCTTTATTGCACAATAATTTGAGGATTTTTTGTGTGTGTGTATAAGTCTCAGCTAAGTTTAGTTCATCTTAAGCTTACTGTTCAAAACTGCCATTTAATATAGAGAAATATTTCTCTATATTAAATATGGTAACTTTCTCTAGGTATAAATAATAATATGTGTGCCCCTGAAAATGATGAAATAAATAATATTAGTGACATTCCAAAAATTGTCCATTCTTTTTCTGTAATTTTTAACTTACTTACAGGTTTTACATTACTTAGAAAGCATTGTTTTGGGGATAGAGCAATGGCTCAGTGGTTAGTAACACTTGCTGCTCTTGTAGAAGCCCTGAGTTCAGTCCCCAACACCCACATCAGGTGACTCACAACCACCTGTAACTCCAGTTCCAGAGGATCTGACTCCATCTTCTGGTCTCTGAGAGCACTACATTCATGTGCACCGACACACACATATATACACATAAATAAAACTTTTAAAAAGAAATAGTTGGTTTGAAGTCCTGCTCTAAATTTAAAAGATCTCTAAAAAAGATCTTGTCTTTTAGAGATTGACTTAGTCACTATTACTATGATGTTCCAAAAAGTGTAAGAATCATATATGTTAAAAGAAGTGTAGTCACCATCGTAGTTGTTGTCTTTCTAGCTTTCCTGTGTTTTTTGGTGGTGGAAGGAGGTTATAAGGCAGAGCAATAACATACTGCTATGTCACTGGGATTATAAGAGTAGCTATTGTTTTTCCATATTTTACTTTTCTCGTTCTGGAACTAGGAAGAGGAGTGGTATTACACACCACACCATTTTTCATGTAATAGCTGTGCTGCTTATTCTTGAAAAGTAGTGTGTATAGACCTTAGTGGCTATGTAGAGCAGATTGCCAGAAACTGCTGATGCACTGGGGAGGGGTTCAGGTTGTTGATAACTGTGTTCATACTTTAAATGACCATGTGACACACTGGATTTGTCGGGAACAAGGAATGTCTTTTCAGTGCCCATTTCCATGAACATTGCCCCATATTCTTAATTTAATGTCCAGTGCTCTGTGCATAGAGTTAGGATTGGAAGTCAGAACCTGGCCCTCCCTTCACTTTGGTCCACTCCTTTTTACCTCCCACCCCAAGTCTAGCTTCCATACCCAACAAGATGTCACCTAATGGGATGTCCTTTGTTATATGTACTTTACAATTTATATTTACATTGTAGAATGATGGACCCAGGAAATGTGGAGGATATATAGTTATTCTACTTACCTACCTCAAATACTGGGAAGAGTCACCCCAGCCAAGAGACAGAATCAGCACTCACAGCTGCCACCTGTGGTTGTTTGATCACCTGGTTATTGAAAAGCTTTGAACTTACTTTCTTTACATTTATACTTTCTGCTTCAATTGTTCAGAGCTCACAGAAAAACTGCCTATACTTCAAAGTTTTCTCAGACTACATTGTACATATTATATTATCAGGGAAGTCCTACTCAAAGGCAGATTGAATTTGGTAGAGCTACCAGACAGTTTGCATTTCTAACAAGGTCACATGTGTTGATGCCCCTGCACTGAATACCAGACCAAGTCGAGAACCTCCAGTAGCCCCTTTGCCTAATGAAATGACCCTGATTTAGCTTTAACTTTACTCAGATCTCAGCTCTTCAACCTTCAAGTCACTGTACGGGGATTTTGAACCAACTGAAAGTCTTAGATCCCTTAATAAGTAAAGACTAAAAGGCATTGGTGGTGAGTTCACACCTGTGGTCCCAGCACTTGAGAGACTAAGGCAGGACGGGTTCTGTGAGTTCCAGACCAATCTAGGCTACATATTGAGGCTCTGTGTTTAAATAAACAATAAGCAAACCAAAAGAAATCAAAATAAGAAAGTTGGGCATGGTGGCACAAACACTTATAATCTCAGCACTCAGGAAGCAGAAGGATCAAGTGTTCAAGGTCAGCCTCAGATAACAATAGTGAATTTGAGATCAGCCTGAGTTACACAAAAAAAGAGTGTTTTAAAAAATGGAAAACTAGGGCCTGGAGAGATGGTTCAGTGGTTGGGAGTGCTGACTGCTCTTGCAGAGGACCCGGGTTTGATTCCCAGCACCCACATGACGGCTCTCAACTGTCCTTGACTCCAGTTCCAGGGGAATCCGAAGCCCTCTTCTGACCTCCGCGGCTTTGCACGACATGGGTGCACTCACATACATGCAGGCAATACACTCGTACACATAAAATAAAAGTAATAAATATTTTTTAAAAAATGGGAAACTAGCTGGGTGTGGTGGCACATGCCTTTAATCCCAGCACTTAGGAAAAAGAGGCAGGTGAATCTGTGAGATTGAGGCCAGCCTGGTCTCCATAGCACCTTCCAGGCCAGCTGGGGCTACAGGGAGACCATGTTTCAAAAAGACAAGGAAAAAGCAAAATAGAAAATAAAAAATTCAGAGCAGTGCTTTAAGAAGATTCAGATTGAGACCCAACATGACACGAGCTACTTCTGAAGAAACATTTATCTCTGGAAAAGGGACTTTTGTGGCTTTACTATAGGACAAGTCAGCCTGATATTCCTGGTAAACCTTCGTCTCTTCTGCTGTAAGTGAATTATCGATAAGACAGGAGCCACAGATTCCCCAGACACCCTTACTTTCCTGTTGTTGCTTTTTTCTTCTTTCATCTGTTGTCACAAATTCAGATATGTAGCTTGACTCCCTGATGGAAGAATTCCTTTGTTTTGGGCCACAGCTCAGACTTTCCACATTCATTACTTTTTCCACACCCAAAGAGCAGTTGTTGTATTTCTTCTCCATTTCCCCTCTCCCCTAAGATACATGGCAATAACCCTGGAACCTTGCTTTATTTCCTTTAGGCTAGGAAACTTCTGACTCTTGTATCTCAGTGGAAAGTCCCAGCAGCTTGGTTATGATGATATATATAGTACTTGTAGCAGCATGTCCAGGAAGAGCAGTAAATGGTTTCTTTAGAGGTGGAAACTTCACTATTTCATGCTCATAGAACAAACATATCTCTTAATGCAATGTGAATAATTTTCCATAGAAATATAATAGAACATTTTCAATAATTACCTGCTGTGTTCTCACTGTAGCCTTTTATGTACATGTGCACTCAATTTGTCTTTTTCTGTTTCAAGGGTGTGATTACTTTAGAGTCCCTTGGTAAAAGGGGTTACCGAGTACCTCCTTCAGGAACGATACAAGTGGTATGTGTTTTATAGCCTACAATTGCAATAATCATTCTCTCACATACATGTAGAACTTAGCCCTTTCTCCTGCTACTGCTGCTGCAACAACCTTGGTAAGTAACAGTGGGGCGGCAGCTTTGTTTGGAGTTCCCATGCTCTGCCCCAGGAATGACCATTTGGGGACCTCCATAAAAGGAAAACCTTAATAAGTTAATTGAGGTGAATGCTTTAGGAAAATAGTATATAACCATTTACGTTACTTAAATTGACTTATTTTCAAAATAATGAGATCCTAACCTTACCAGTGCTTTCTATTAAATATTGAGCCATATTGAGATTAACCCACTTAAAAGGAGACCCCCAAATATTAGTCTTGCTTTAGCAGGAAAACTTGGGAGACAAGATACTATCGCTAGTCGGTGGGAGGGAGGGAGGGAGGGAAGGAAGGAAGGAAGGAAGGAAGATAGGAAGGAAGATAGGAAGGAAGATATCAGGCAAAGAGGGTGCCACTCTACCAACCCATCCAGTTTGAGCACAGAGACCTTCTAAGCAGAGCAGGCCTGGTCTAAGTTTATCTCTAAGTCTGATCCAGGGTAACCCTGTGAGCTCTCAAGTCTGCTTTGGAGGGAGGGAGGGAGGGAAGGAAGGAAGGAAGGAAGGAAGATAGGAAGGAAGATAGGAAGGAAGATATCAGGCAAAGAGGGTGCCACTCTACCAACCCATCCAGTTTGAGCACAGAGACCTTCTAAGCAGAGCAGGCCTGGTCTAAGTTTATCTCTAAGTCTGATCCAGGGTAACCCTGTGAGCTCTCAAGTCTGCTTTGGGTTTTGCAGACTGGAAGAATCTGGCCAAGGTTGGCTGCTTGCCTCTGTCTATGCAAGAGGCTTCCTGAAGCAGATGCCCTCAGGTTGGCAGTGCTCTGTCAGGTCCCTTACCCCTCTGTTCCAGTTCTGCAAGGAGTCTGTGCATTTGTTTATTTCCAGTTTCACTGGAGTGAAACAGTAGTGTGCCACATATGTGTTTACTATGGAGGAATCGCTACATATTAAAGTATGATTTATGTGTTTAATGGATTTTTCAAGTTAAGGAGTGGTAGTCTTTTGCCTCCTATCTGTGGAGCTCATGAAGAAGGTCACCGGTGAGCTGGACGTGAACTGTCCTAGCAATGAGGCATAGACCAGAAGCACACATTCACTTCTGTGGTGGTTTTAAACCAGAAGTTTGCATTTGATTTATGCCTTACATGGTTTAATTACGCATAGTCATGGTTTGAACTCCTGGCTCCAGTTGGGTTGTTGAATGTATTAACCTTGATCTTATGACTCACTAGATTGTAAATTCAGATCATAATGTTGATGTATTTCTCATTTTGATTCAGTGAGTGATGTCCAGTCCCTCGGACGAGCTTCTGAAAGCATGGCACCAAGTTACCGATTGATGTGTTGGTAATTTGGTTAAAGTCAGTTCAGCAGCTTGGGGTTTTATTCAAAATATGATTCCAAGTCTGAGGACATGAAGTGTAATTTAGCTTTGAATCTAATAATACTGTTTTTTTTCCTAAGCTTGAAAATATTTTCAAACAGAAAAGTCTCTCCTTTGAACGTTTATAGTTCATTTTGCAATAACTACTTTATAATAACTGCTTTAAAATTTTACATTTACTGAGGTTCTGTTTTTAAATAATTGAAGTAATCATTAAAGTGTAAGAGAAATTCAAATTTCACTTTGAAAATTTGCAATTTATATATTCAGTGAAACTATGTTTGAAATGAATGAAGTAGAATATTCTAACCCAAAATATTCCATCAAAGTGTATTTGGCTTAACTAGCAGAACAATTTCTGATTATCTGAATAATGGGGAAATTATATATTCTTTACTATTAATGTGAAATTTGTGACTAAAGATTTTTATTTATTACAGGACTTTATATTATTGAGAATTAAGAAATTGAGTTGAATCTTTGAAAGAATATTGAGTACTATTTTGTGAACTTACAAAATGTTAACTTTAATCTCTGAAACTGAGTTATCTCCAGTGGGATTAAATTATTAAAAAGACTGTTTCATTACTGACACAGTCATTCTGAGTCACATAAACAAAGTATCATTTTTTAAAGAATAACTTCTCTGTTGTTTCTTCAGACCTTATTCAATCCTAATAAGACTGTGGTGAAGATGTTTGTTGTGACGTATGATTTACGAGATATGCCAGCCAATCATCAGACATTCCTACGACAAAGAACTTTTTCTGTTCCTGTTAAACAAGAAATGAAGAGAAGTATTAACAAAGAGAACATCCAACATACAGAACGATTACTACGCTACCTCATACATCTGAGGTATATCAGATTAATATAAAAATATCTTATTTTTTATTGAATTTTTGTGTATTTCATACAGAAAATCATCTTTATACCCTCTTCCCTTTTGGCACCCTCCAATAACCCCCCAACTGGAATTCATACCTTCTGTCATTTGTGTTAATGCCTATCATGTAAAGTTAGTGTCCCCAGATGTCCCTTAGTGCAAGTTCATCCACTGGGATCTAGTCAGTCTATCTAGAGTCCCTCCCTTTAAGAAAATTAGCTCTTCCTCAGCCAAAAATAATCAGCTGCCAATAATTCTTTGATTAAGATTGGGGCCTTTTGTCCATTTCCACATTTCTGTGCTGGGTTTTGTCTGCTTGACTTTGCATGGGTCTTGTGCATGCTGACACCATTACTGTAGGTTCATATGAGAAGGGTCCCAAAAGCCTGTAGGACTCAACTTGCATATGATCATGCACCTCCTCCTTGACTCTTAAAGTCTTTCCACCCCTTCTTCTGAAATGGTCCCTGAACCCTGGGTGAGTGGATTTTAATATAGGAGTCCTGTCCAAGGACCCATATTCTGCAGGCTCTTATTCTCGCATTTTGGCCATTTGTGACCTTTTGCATTCCTGGCCTAGTATTGCATGGGGGAGCTTCATTGATAAGAGTTGAAAGATGCATTAGTGTTCTCTTCATCCCTTGTTCCATGAGATTTAGGTGTAGAGGTTGCATCCTAGACATGCCACTTCGACTTGGGAAATTGATAGACAATCTCTGTGTGACCAGTTGTGAAACTCTGTAATAATCTCTGTCTGTCGACAAAGAAGCTTTCTTTGATGAGTAGTGACTGGGATACTTGTCTATAAATTTAAGGAGCCATATTTTGCACATAGTAAGAAATTGCATGTTTCTAGGGATATGACAGCCTTGAAGTTTTATCTAAGATCTATGACCTCTTCAGCTATGTGTATTTGGCTAGGTTTACAGTACCACACATGAGTTTCTCTTCCCATTGAGTGGGCTTTACGTTCAATTACGTAGCTGTTAGATTAATATGAAAATATCTTACTTTAGGACAATTCTAACATTGTTTAGTTTTTTAAGGAACCTGTAACTGACTAGACTAGGACCACTGTCCTCTGCTTAGTGTGAGGCTCTGACACCCTACCAAGGTGCAGAAAGCTCATGGCATACATTCACACCATCATTGTTACTAACAGAAATCAGGCTTGTACTTGTAATTGTTGAATGTAAAATACTGGAAGACAAGGCAAAGCCTGATATTTGAGACAGTTAATCAGGTTTTGTTTTGGTTTTTTTTTAATTTTATGTGTATGAGTGTATTGCCTGCATGTACGTGAGTGTACCCATGTTGTGCAGTGCCCAAGGAAGTCAGAAGAAGGCATAGGATCCCCTGGAACTGGAGTTACAGCCACTATATGGGTGCTGGGAATCAAACCCATGTCCTCTGCAAGAGCAGCCAGTGCTCTTAATCACTGAGCCATCTCTGTAGCCCCAGTGAATCAGTTATTAAGCCAGAAGTGTCTAATAGAAATGTAATATGAGCCATCAGTACTGTTCTATAGTTACTTGCAGCCACATAGGAAAATAATGTACCTGGACATGGAGACTCGTACCTGTAATCCCCAGCACTCAGGAGATGGAGGCAGGGGGATCAGAAGTTCAAGGCCATCTTTGGCTACATAGTGAGTTTGAGACCAGCCTAGGTTACATGAGATCCTGTCTTAAAAAAAAAAAAAAAAAAAACAACCTAGAAAATAATTTTTAAAGGCAAAATTAATATATTTTACTTAACATAGCACACTTAAATGTTATCATTTGAATATATAATCAATATAAACATCAGTGAGATATTTTACATTCTTTCATTTTACCATATCTTCAAAATCAAGATATATTTTGTACTCAGAGCACAACTCAGTTTAAACTAGCCCCATGTCAAGTGACCGTTAGCTCCATGTAGCTAGCAGCTGTATTGGACAGGGGACCTCTTCGACTTCACTCACCACATCAACAGATACTTCCATACCAGACTTGCTTCTAGACACTGGGGAGGTAGCAGTACTGATGAAGCTACATTCTTGGAGCTCTGCTAGAATGCCTTTTTCTGCAACTTTCATGGCTTCAGCTCAACCATACATTGATGGTTGGTTGGTTAGTTTTTGGTCCTTTGGTTCAAGTTGCTATCATCCTAAAGTTTTTAGTCCCCCAAATTCCTGTGGAGCTCTTGGGATCAGAGCAAATCAACTGATTAAGTTGGTTTTCAGTAGCCTTTTTCCTGTAAGTATTTTTGAGTTTTCTAGTTCCTTCCCTAAGACATTCTCAGCCACATCAGTGACTTTCCTCTTAGACTAGCTCTTCGTTGTAGGGAGCCCTAGTCATAAGTCACCCCTCACCCAGGGTTTAAGCAGAGTCTTCTTTAACCTGTCCCTGTGGTGACCCTTTGTCTTTCAATAGATAACTGCAGTACAGTGGATTGGATAGGGAATAAGCTAAATATGCAAGTTACGTGCTTGAAAAAGTTGCTAACTGTTCCTCTCAGAACACTGCTTAATGCATCTCATGTCTCTACCTGTTCTGCATCCAACAGGCAGAACCCATCCAAAAGCTTTAACCCATGTTATGTGTTTGGGTCCATCCTGAAACTGCTTGACAGGAACACTAGGGGATATGTTCCATAAACTATGAGTATGAGAAACTGTCTACCGAAAACAAACTTGGGAAACTTTTTCAAAAGGAGAAATGTGGAGGCTGGAGAGATGGCTCAACCGTTAAGAGCACTGGCTGCTCTTGCAGAGGACCCCAATTTGTTTCCCAGCACCCACATCGCAGCTAACAACCATCTGAAACTCCAAGAGACCTGACACCTTTCTGGCCTCTCTGGGCACTGCACACACATACATACATGCAGGCAAAACACTCATATGTACATATAAAGTAAAAATATCTTTTTTTATCTTTTTGAGGCAGGGTCTCCCTGTAGCCCCAGCTGTCCTGGAACTCACTATGTAGACCAGGCTGGCCTCGAACTCACAGAGCTCTGCCTGCCTTTGCCTCCCGAGTGCTGGGATTAAAGTTGTGTGCCACCATGGCCAGCTAGTAAAAATAATTTTTTTTAATTTTAGTTGTGCAATGCCTGCGGAGGACAAAAGAGGCTGTTGGATCCCCTGGATCTGGAGTTACGGACAGTTGTTAACTGCCATGTGGGTGCTGGGATTCGAACCTGGGTCTTCTGCAAGAACAACCAGTGTTCTTAACCGCTGCACCATCTCACCGGCCCCCCCCCAAAATAAAATTTTTAAAAGAAATGTTGGCCAGTAACATGGCTCAGCCAGTAAAGGTACTTGCCACTGAGCCTGATGACCTGAGTTGAGACAACTACCATAGATTGTCCTCTGACTTCCACTTGTAATCACATGTGTGCACATACAATAAATAAATAAAAAGTAATTAAAATTATTTTTTTAAGAAAAATAAGCCAGGCATGATGGCACACACCTTTAATCCCAGCACTTGGGAGGCAGAGGCAGGAGAATCTCTATGAGATAGAGGCTATCCTGCTCTACATAGCAAGTTCCAGGCCAGCTGGGACTACAGGGAGACCCTACTCAAATAAATAAACAAACAAACCCAGGCATGGGAAACCCCAGCACTTGGGAGACTGAGGCAGGAGGACTGCTGTAAGGTCATTCTAGACTACATAGTGAGTTCCAGACCAGCCTGGGTGATACCCTGTCCTAAGGAACTAAAAAATAAATTAAAAGAGAAATGTAAAATAGCAGACTATAAGAATTTTTCCCAGTGCTAGGGATGTATGCCTTAGTGGCATGTGTAAGGCCCTGAATTTCATCCCTCAACACTACAAAAACAATAATAATCTGGTCACAGAGGCCCGTAAATTTTAGAAACTTGGAAGACTGAGGCAGGAGAATCACAAGTTTAAGTTCTGCTTGGGCAACTTAATGAGACCCCGTCTCAAAATAAAAAGTAAAAAGAGGGCTAGAAATACAGCTTAGTGGCTGAGTGCTTGCTTTACATGGAGTTCTGGGTCCAGAACCAAGTACTACAGAATCTGTCAATTAACCAACCAACCTCCCAGCCCAGTAGGAAAAGATTCAGTTCTCTGATTCAACTTTCATTTCACAATGTTCTTTTGATGTCTTCTGTGTGGTTGGTTGGTTGGTTGGTTGGTTGGTTGGTATTATTTGTTCTGTGGTGTTGGGGATCAAACCTAGAGTTGCATGCATGCTAGGCAAGTACTCTACCACTGTGCTACATTGTCAGCTCCTCCTGAAGTATAACAACCTCAAGAGTGTGTATTTAGCAACCTAAGTAATGTGTAACCAACATTCATCTAACTCAGCTGCCTTAGCTTTTACAGGCTTCACATAATACTTAGAAACCTAGGCACTATTTGGAAAAGGGCACACTTGCCAAAGCTTCCCATGTTCTCCTTCAGGTGGAGAAAGTGGGAGCCAGTGCATGAGGTTTGCTCACACCAGGCCTCTCCATCATTTGGGAATAAAACCGACAAATGCAGAGCACCTTCTGTCTACCAGGGTTTAGCAGGAGGCAGAAGCTATTTCATGCCCAGTTTCGGTGGCCGTTTCTCATTACACTGCTGGTGTCTACTGAGGTTTTGGTTTGATGGTTATCTTTTAACTAGCTACTGCAGTGATTATCCCAGAACTTGAAACTTGCAAGGCATTGGTGGGACATGTCTGTAATACCGTTCCTACGGTGACTAAAGCAGGGGGATTACCAAAAGTTTGAGGCCATCCTGGGTACAGCATAGGGCCCTGTCTCAAAAACAAACAAACAAACCAAGTTGTGGTGCGCACTGCCGCGTTTGCTTCTCACTCTTACTGCCACACCCTGAAAATCCAACCCCCTCCTCTGCCAGGAACTTGCTGCCAGCACTGTGCCCTACCCATACCCAGCACTGACCCTGGAGCAGAAGGAGCTGTCTGACATTACTCATTGTGGCTCAGGACAAGGGCATCCTGGCTGTAGATGAGTCCACCAGGAGCATTGCCAAGAGGCTGCAGTCCATGACACCAAGAACACAGGAGAACAAGTGCTTCTGATGTCAGTTGCTGCTGACCACTGCTGACCATGTGAATCCCCACAGGGAGGGGGGTGATTCTTTCTATGAGACACTGTACCAGAAGATGGATGATGGACATCCCTTCCCCCAAGTTATCAAATCCAAGGGTGGTGCTGTGGGTGTCAAGATAGACAAGGGTGTGGGGCCCTTGGCAGGAATCCCAATGGCAGACTACCACCCAAGGGCTGGATGGACTGTCTGAATGCTGTGCCCAGTACAAGAAGGATGAAGCTGACATTGCTAAGTGGCATTGTGTGCTGAAAATTGGAGAGCGCACCTGCTCAGCCTGTGCCATCATGGAGAATGCCAGTGTTCTGGCCCTTCATGCCAGCATCTACCAGCTGAATGGTTTTGTGCCCATTGTGGAGCCCAAAATCCTCCCTGATGGGGACCATGACTTGAACCGCTATCAGTATGTAACTGAGAAGGTACTGGCTGCTGTCTACAAGGCTCTGAGCGACCACCACAAATACTTAGAAGGCACCTTGCTGAAGCCCAGCATGGTTACCCTAGGCCATGCTTGTATCCAGAAGCTTTGAATGAAGAGATTGTTATGGCAACTGTCATAGCACTGCATCACACAGTATCCCTTGCTCTCCCTGGGTCACTTTCCTGTCTGGGGGGCAGAGTTAGGAAAAGGCATCCGTCAACCTCAGTGTCCTCAAATGCCCCCTACTGAAGCCATGGGCCTTGATTTTTCTCCTATAGCCAAGCTCTGCAGGCCTTTTCCCTAAAGGCCTGGGGCAGGAAGAAGGAACACTCAAGGTTGCCCAAGAGGAGTACATCAAGTGAGCCCTGGCCAACAGCCTCGCTTGTCAAGGAAAGTGTACCCCAAGTGATTAGGCTGGGGCCGCAGCCAGTGAGTCCCTCTTTGTCTCTAACCGTGCTTATTAAGCTAAAGTGGTCTACGGATGCTCCATCAGCACTCCACATCCCTGCATACCCACTTGCTCTTGAAGAGGGGGCCTCAGCAGGCATGGTGGCATATGCCTTTAATCCCAGCACTGGGGAGGCAGTGGTAGGTAGATCTCTGTGAGTTCACGGCCAGTCTGGTCTACATAGCAAGTTCCAGAACAGCTGGGGCTACAGGAAGACCCTGTCTCAAAAAGACAAAAAAATAAAAAAAAAATAAAAAAGATTTTAATCCCAGCACTCAGGAGGCAGAGGCAGGAGGATCTCTGTGAGTTCGAGGCCAGCCTGATCTACATAGTTCCAGGACAGCTGGGGCTACAGGGAGACCCTGTCTCAAAAAAAAAAAATTATAAAAACAAAAAGAGAGGGCCTCCAGGCTCTTCCCATCTCTCTTTCCACCCTCATAACTTTGGTGTGTATGTTGTCTTTGAATGCTAACTCTGTCAAGACTTCCAACCCACTGCAATAAAGAACTATTTAAGAACGGGGGGGAAACACAAACCAAAACATGGCCTGGGGAGAAGGCTCAGTGGATGAAGCTCTTCCATACAAATCTGCTGACTGAAGTTCACATCCAGAACCCACGTAGAAACCAACAGGCCAACTGTAATCCCAGCACTTGAGAAGCAGGGACCGGGGCAAGCTCACTGCCTAGACCAGCCAAATCGCTGAGCTCCAGGTTCACTGGGAGACCTTACCTCAATAAAGTGGAAAGTGATTGAGGAAGACACCTGATGTCAACTTTTAGTGTCCACATGCACACCTGCACACACACGTGTGTTACCTACACGTGGAAATACAAACACATGTTCTCACATCACACATATAAAATTTTATTTTCATTTCTTTTGGGGGGAGTGGGAGGTTGGTTTGGGTTTGTTTTTTTTAATATTTTATTATTTTTATTTTATGTGTATGAGTGTATTGCCTGCATGTATGTGAGTGCACCTGTGTCATGCAATGCTGTGGTCAGAAGAGGGCTTCAGATTCCCCTGGAACTGGAGTTAAGGATGGTTCATAGCCGCCATGTGGGTGCTGGGAATCAAACCCAGGTCCTCTGCAAGAGCAGTCAGTGCTCTTAACTGCTGAGCCATCTCTGTCTGGTTTGGGCTTTTTTGAGACGGTTTTATATTATAGCCCAGACTGGCCTGTAATTCACTATGTAGTCCAGGCTTATCTCAAACTTGACAATCTTCTTGCCTCAGCCTGCTGAGTGCTGGGATTACAGGTGTAAGCAATCACATCCAGAAAAACTTTTAATATTTCTGTGATGGCTTCTCAGATGTGGAGTCCATTTTATTCTACCCCAAATCATGGGCAGCTGATTTGTGTGGATTGTCTGTCTGTGTGTCTAGAATAGGCCTGCAAAGCCCAAAGTGGATAATTGGCAGGTGTCAGTGGAAACTTATTACCCTAGCTGTGGACAGTTCAGGTGCCACAGAGTCAGGAAAACTAAGGAAGCCAGGACCCCATAAGAGGAAAGGATTGTACAGCAAGGTTAGAGAATAGTGAGTCAGGAACATGTGCTTTGATAATTTAAGACTTTAAACACTGGGAAGAGGGTTAAGCTAGAAGTACAGCAAGATTAGTTCTTCCCGCTTTCAAACTTTAATTACCCAGTCTTGCTTGTTTTAAGGACTCATTCCCTAACATTATTAATCGTTCTATGTATTTGTATAGGTTCCAGAGTTCCAAATCTGGGAAGATCTACCTCCATAGAGACGTTCGGCTCCTGTTCTCTAGAAAATCCATGGAGGTTGATAGCGGTGCTGCGTATGAACTCAAATCTTACACTGAATTGCCAACAAACCCTCAGTTTTCACCAAGATGTTGATGAGGCGTGGCAGCTTCAAGTATTTGCTCAGTACCCAAGCTTGAAAGTGAGCGTTAGCATAGAATGGAGTATACCAAATCAGCAGCCGGGAGACTGGTCCCCCCCTGTTGTCCTGGACCAGATTTATTAAAGGATTCCTGAATTGAGCTCCGCAATTCCAAGCAGACTGGAAGCACTTGTGTCCTCATCCTTTCTGTTGAAGCCACTTCATTAGACAGTTGCGATAGCAAAATCCCCAGTTAGATTAGTGTTTACACATTTTATTTCTGTTATTTAATATTTAATGTTTTCCTCAATACCCAAGTGATGTTTGTCTCTAGTGTTCTAATGTAGCACAATCCTATGTAAAATCATATTATGTATTTTTGACATTAATGTTGAAATCTGAAATATATGCACAAGTCTTTAATTTTGTGTGGTGTGTTTACATGCTGTTCCTTTACGCTGTTGAGAATGAGAATGAAATGTTGAGCTTCTTTAAGATTACTGCACTATGCAAGCATGTGTATTGTTTATATCTTTCCAGGTTAGTTTTTATAACACCCCATCCAGACAGGGGTTGCCCCTGGCGTGACACATTGTACCTCGGTGCAGCATGGACTGCACCACTGCGTCCCCTCAACAGTGCTCATCCCCTGTGCCCATTCTCATTCCCCCGAGGGTCCCAGTGCCCAAATGTTCTATTTTTCCTGAACCACCACTATAGAGGCTTACTTTAAATTGCTGTCCCATGCTAGATAATTTTCTCAAACTGTTAAAAGAATATGTACTTTGAAAACAATATTTATATTGTAAATATATGAAAAAAACCAAAACGTGTATTTGGCTTTATTTTTAGATGACATGTTTATGTGACTGAGTGAATTAGCCCTTGGCCGTTGCCATTCTACCTCTACAAGGGGAGGAACGATTGACATTGGAAGCACCAACCAAGCAAGGGAGCCTGATCAAATGTGTTAAAAAGCCCCTCCTACCCATGCTAGGAAAGAGCAAAGCAGTCTTGATGATATGTGCTGGGGTGATGGCAGCAGCAGACTAGATAACAGAACAGGAATCAAGGAGTGTGGATCAGCAGTGGAGGCACATCCTGTAATCTCAGCACTTGAGGGGCAGAGGCTGCAGGATTGCTGCAAGTCCAAGGCCAGCCTGATCTACATAGTGAGACCCTGTCTCAAATCCTCCTCCTCCAAAAAGAATTTGTATTAGTCTATTTCCTGTTGCCAATAATACAGTTGCAGGTTTCCTTTGCACTTTTTCAGATTAGTAAAATGAGTCATAATTTATAAATCCTTTCATAAAGGTGCTATAGGTCAAAAATAACCTATTAAAAGTCTTTGAAACTGAAAGTTAATCTATGAATGGGGAGTGGAGTGGAGAGATGGCTCAGCAGTTAAGAGACTGGCTGCTCTTGCAGAGGATCTGAGTTCAATTCCCAGCACCCACATGGTGGCTAATAACCATCCCTAACTCCAGTTCCAGGGGTCTGATACCCTCTTCTGACTTCTGTGGGCATTACATGACACGAGTGCACTTACATACATGCAGGCTCATACACATAATAATAAATATATATATTTAAGTCTATGAATGGAGCCAGATGTAGTGACTCATGTCTTTAATCTCAGCACTCCAGAGGCAGAGACGGTGGCAGGCAGGTCTACATAGAGAATTCCAAGCCAGCTGGGGCTACAGGGAGACCCTGTCTCAAAACAAAAATCTATGAATGGAAGCTGGCCTGAAGGAACCACAACAGAAAGCTCTCGATGCTTTTTCCCACCAAACACCGTTCCTTCCTGGAAGGTTAAAGAAGGGAAGTTTTAAAGGTTCCATCTTTGGGATCAGCTATTTTCCTATTTTGTGACTGAAGCAGTGATCCTCTTTTTAACTTGGTTTTTAAATATTTCTCACTGCGTGCTCGTATGAAGCCAATGTGAAAGTTCTCCCTCACTCCTCTCGCTACAGTTATAATTTGGCATATGACATGCCATATAATGTAGACAGGGCACAGGAAGAGGCTGGGTGAGGGGCTTCCAGAGTGGAGGCGTTCATTTCAATCCCAGCATTGGCCCCCATGGCATTGGAATCAACTCATTCTATCCACAGTAGATTATCAGATGTCTGAAACTTCACCCCTGGGGGGAGGAGAAAGCGAATGAACCACACTGTGTGGGTCTAGGCAGTTTAATCCTGAAATGTGAGACTGTATAGATAATTTTCAGCTGCTCTACAGTTAAAGCAGCAGAGTCTTGTGGCTTCCCCAGGTTACGACAGAAGTAACAGAAGTCCATCTGTTACCAGTACACTGGTATTTGCCCTTTTCCTATTATTTTTCCACCAGGACTATGGTTTTCATCCATATTCTTAGAAATACAGTTTATCAGAGTTGGGGATATAACTCAATTGGCAGAATGCTCACCTGGAAATAGTTTATAGCCAGGTGTGTGACAAGCAGTGGCCATAGTAAGATTTCTGGTCAAATGGAGAATGACTGATTTAAAAGCAAATCAGTTACTGTGGCAGAATTGGCCTACAGTAACTCACAGGTTATTCAAGTTAATAAGCTGTCAGCCACACAAGTACAGTTTGAGAAAAGTCCTTGGGACATACTGTGTCAAACATTTTAGAGATTATAAAGGTTTGACTTCTTAAAGTTTTCAAGACCCCCTGCCACTTGATTATTCATTGTTCTTTCAAAATTTTCTGAGTTCTACCTACATAGTTCTGGACTTCTGATGTTCAGTTTCTCATTTGGTTTCTCTCTCCCACTATCTATCCCTTCATTAACAATGCAGTCTCTCCTGGCTAGAGATATAGATCAGTTGTAGAGTGTTTGCCTAACATGCACGAAGCCCTGAGTTTGTTCAGTTAGCAACACCACATAAACCAGGTGTGATGGTGCACACTTGTGATCCCACCAATTGGGAGGTGAAGGCAGGAAAATCAGAAGTTCAAGGTCATTGGCTACAGTGATTTTAAGGCCTATGTAGGCTACATGGAACTCTTGTTTCAAAAGGGCAGGGGAAAGGTGGGGCTGGCGAGATGACTCAGTAGTTAAAAGCACATATTACTCCTGAAAAGGACCTGAATGAAGTTCCCAGCACCCACTTGGAGTAGCTCACAATCTCCTTTAACTCTTAACTTCAAGGAATCCGATCCCTCTGGCCTTCAGCAGCAGCAACACTCATGTGCACATACCCACACGCATACACATAATTAAAAATCTTTTTGTAAAAAGTCTTGGTCTTATCAAAGCTTTTATATGCCTACTTAATTCCAAACCAAAAAAATAAAATACTCTGTTCATGTATGTATTGAAACCACCAGGGGGAGCTTTGGTTAAGCATCTGTTCTTGGGACCTGGCTCTAAACAAAAGAATTTCTGCCAAGAGGTTTTCTGGATGATTCTAGTCTCTGTGACTAATTCTTTAAAATTAAACATTCAATTTCTTGTACCAGTCACATTTCAAATGTACAATAGCTACATAGGGTTAATAGCTACTGTGTTCAATAGCACAAAGTAGAAGGTCCCATCACCACAAGAAGTGCTATGGGCTGGCCCTGATCTAGACCATACTGATGGCAGTTAAAGCTATAAAGATAGAGGTGAGGGGCTGGAGAGATGGCTCAGTGGTTAAGAACACTTAACTTTTCTTGCAGAAGACCCAGGTTCGAATCCCAGCACCCACATAGCAGCTAACAACTGTGCATAGCTCCAGTTCCAGGGGATCCAACAGTCCCTTCTGTCCTCCGCGGGCATTGCACAACACGGGTACACTTACCTACATGCAGACAATGCACGCATACACACAAAAATAAAAAATAAAATGTAAAGATAGAGGCGAGCTCATGAAGAGGGTAAAACTGGAGGAGAGAAGGGCTTTCTAAGAAGCGTCAGAATATTCTTACATTTTTTACTCATTGTGTGTGTGTGTGTGTGTGTGTGTGTGCGCGCGCGCGCGCGCATGCATATGCACATGCCCTTGCATATATGTGGAGACCAAAGGACAACTTGGAATCAGTTCTGCACCCCCACTATATAGATTCCAGGGATCAAACTCAAGTTATCAAGCTTGGAGATAAGTGCCTTTACCTACTGAACCCTCTCACCAACCCTAGAATCTTCACAAGAGGTAGATAAGGCTGGATGTGGAGGTGCGGGCCTGTAATCCCAATGCTTGGGAGGTTGAGGCAGGATTGTGACTTAGAAACCATCTTGGGCTGCACAATGGGTCTCTGTGAAATTGAGGTCAACCTGGTCTACATAATGAATTCCAGGTCAGATAGGGCTACAGGGAGACCCTGTCTAAAACAAGAAAGAGAAAGAAAGGAAAGAAAGGAAAGGAAAGGAAGGAAGGAAGGAAGGAAGGAAGGAAGGAAGGAAGGAAGGAAGGAAGGAAGGAAGGAAGGAAGGAAGACCAAGCGAGGCAGACATAGTTCACATCTGTAACCCTAGCACTCCAAGACCTAAAGCAAGAGGCTTGTGAGTTCAAGGCCACCCTGAACTGCATAGTGAACTGGAGGCTAGCTTGGGTAACACAGTGAGACCCTGTCTCAAAACCAAACAAGAGGCTGATATGGCCAGGCACGGTGGCATAAACCTATAATCCTAGTATTTTGAAGGTTGAAGGCTGGAGGATCATGAGTTCAAAACCAGCCTGAACCCCTTTCTCAAAAAATTAAAAATAATAATAAAAAATTTTAAAGAGGAAAGTAGCCAGGTGTGGTGCACAAATCTTTAATTCCAGCACTTGGGAAGCAGAGGCAGATCTAGGCCAACCTGGTCACATAGTGAATTCCAGATCAACTGGGGCTACAGGAAGATCTTGCCTCAAAAAAAAAAAAGAGGAAAATAAGACTCAGCAAAAACAAAGGAGGTTAAAGAATGAGTAACTGACCAGCTGTCTGCAAGACTGTTTCCTTGTGATCATCTACACCCTGGCTCTTACAATCTTTCTGCCTCCTCTTCTGCAATGATCCCTGAGTCTTGGGATGCAGAGGTTTGAAATAACTGTCCTATTCAGGGATAAGCACTCTGCAGACTCTTGTTCTCTGCACATTGGCTAATTGTGGGTCTCTGTGTTAATCACCATCTGCTGCATAAAAAAACTTCTCTGGTGAGAGTTAAGAGATGCATTCATCCTAAGTGTAGATGTTGATTGAGTGGGTAAGCTATCCCAACCCAACCTAAGGACCTTTTGGCAACTGATGGCTGCTGGGAAGGGAAAGACAGTGTCTTACAGGGTTTGGATTCTTGGTGGGCCCAGTGGATGGATCCACACTGAAGGATATTGGGGGACACAAATCAGACTCTATAGGCCATATAGATATTCATATATATATATATATATGAAACCATTAAATTGGGCAGGGAGCTGAGGTGGGGAGTGTGGATAAAGGAGCAAATCTAAATGACATAAAACTATATAGTATGAAAATCACATTTTTTTAAAAAAAAAGAGGAGGAGGAGGAGGAGGAAACGGACAGAGCCAGGAATGGTACAGCAATGTATACAGGGACCTCAACAAATTAAGCACTCTCCAGGAAGCCAATGCTGGGGGCCAGAATAGCCCAAACCCCTGAATGCCAGAGGAGCAGCATCTTCCAGGAAAGGATTCTGATAATTTATAGCAGAACTACATATGCACATTTCTTGAGTTTTGTTTCATGTTTTCTATAAATTGTTGCACTGCCATGGCCAAGGTGGAAAGAAGCTGAGAATTTTTGTCTATCCAGTTCTGCCCAAAGCCCAAAAGAAATGAGCAAACAACAATAAGGACAAAAACTCTTTTTCTTTTTACCATCTCCTGTCTCAGTCTTTTCTTCTGTTTCCTGGTAAAGAGGCAGGCAGTGGACCTGAAGCTCCAGTTATTCCAGGAATCGTGCAAAGGAAGGAGGATCACTTAATTTCAGGACAGCCTGGGCTAAACAGCATATTCAGGGTCAGCTTGTTGGGCTGCATAATAAGACCCTATCTTTTTAGAGATTTTTGAAGTTTTGTTTTTGTTTGTTTGTTTTCTTTTTAAAGGCAGGGTCTCACTATGCAGCCCTGGCTTGCCTGGAATTCCCTATGTAGACCAGACTGGCCTCGAACTCTCAAGAGATCTGCCTGCCTCTGCCTCCTGAGTGCTAAGATTAAAGGCATGCACCATCATGCCTGACCAAATATTTATTTCTATTTTTTCTGTGTTATTAGTGTTTTGCCTGCATATATGTAAGTATATCATGTGGTGTGCAGTGCCCAAGGAAGTCAGAAGAGAGCATCAGATCCTCTGGAACTGGAGTTATGGAGGGTTGTTAGCCACTTTGTGGGTGCTGGCAACTGAACCTGGGTTCGCTGCAGAAGCAGCTTTTGCTCTTAACTGCTAAGCCATCTCTCCAGTAAAAATCCCGGCCTTGAAAAAAAAAAAGGAGGAATGGCCAGTATCTTGAAGGTCAAGAAGAGCATTTTGAGGGATGGAGTATTGGGGATCAATGTGCAATCTTAAAGTACATGGTGCAGAGTAGTGTGGTCATAGGCCCTGGAAATTAAGACTTACCAAAAATTGCCCTTTTCAGCTCCAGCATCCTAGAAAATACAATGCTGGAAATGAAAATGGCCTGTCTCAAAGCCCAGGCCCTGGTACTTCCAAGTTCTTGTACCTTGAGAACAGGGCTAAATCTACATGTACATATTTCCTGTTTTTTATTTAATCTTTTCTGTTTTGGAACACTGCTATGAGCAAGGCAAAGACAGATGGAGACTTTTTCTTTCCTCAGTGTTGGGTCTCCCGTAACCCAGATTGGCTGGTATTCACAATGTAGTTGATGATGATGTTGGACTCCTGGATTCTCCTGCCTCTACCTCCCAAGTGCTGGGATCATGGGTGTGCACCACTACACCTAACAGGCTCTCCTCTCTGATTGTGGCTGAGCATTGCACTGGGACCAGAACCAGGCTTTATGGCTGGAGTTCCTGTCGACATTGTTACTTGGAAAGGATGGCTTCCAAGACAGTGCCCCAAAGCAGGACACTGCCTTTGAGGAGTTCTCAATTCGGCCAGTCTGTTTCCCAGAAATTCAAACTTGCCTTCATGTAAGAATACATGTTATATATTTTTATATATGTATATATACATGTATATTCTTTATCTGTTTCTGTCCCTGTGTTTGCTGAAACATACAGAGAATTTTTATTGATAATACATTTACTTGTATAACAGAGTCGCAGAAAGATGTGCAAGCAAGGTATAAGTAGGGTTCGGTGGTTCAATACATCCAGTATTTGGTAGGTTACTCAATAAGGATTCAGCATATTTCTCAGAAGACAACTTTTGGTACAGTGAATTGTTAAGTTGTCATTTTTATATAGAAGCCTTTTTTATTGTAGTACTAAAGGAGGATTAGCTTTTTTATATTTTCACTATGTCAAATTTTACATATATATATGTGTGTGTGTGTGTGTGTGTGTGAAGAGAGAGAGAGAGAGAGAGAGAGAGAGAGAGAGAGAGAGAGAGAGAGAGAGAATTCTATTTGGTTAATAAAAACACTAGGTAGATCGTCCCTTTAGCCCAACTAGTACATTCCTCTTTCTCTCTGAGGGCCAAAGGAGAAACATTAAGAACCTAAACCAAGAGGACTACTGTGAGCGCCAGGCCAGCCTGGGCTAGCATGAGATGTTGTCTCAACCAACCAATGAATAAGAACAAAAAAGAAAGGCAAATATCAGTAGGTTACTTTGTCAGTATAGCAGGATAACAAATATGCAGGTGATATTTTTGTTTTGTTTTGTTTTGTTTTGTTTTTGTAGACAGGGCTTCACATAGCTTAGGCTAACCTTGAACTGATGATCCTCCTCCCTCCACTTCCAAAGTGCTGGGACTACAGTGTGCACTATAGTTTTTATTAACCACATGAACCATTCTCAAGGATATCTTCGTCAAATAGTTAGTGTCTTAAGTATTTTTATTTTAAACATTTCCTTGGCTGACAAACCCTTTCCTTCCTTCTCCAAAAGGAACTCAGTATTACTCCTTTTGTTCTTCAAGCTGAAGTTCCAGTACAGTCTTCCTGTCTGAGATTCTAAACGTGACTGAGGGTTTTTTCTTTTCCTTTTTATTTTATTTTTTGAGATAGGGTCCAGTTCAGGCTGACCTCAAACTCACTATGAAGCTGACTGAGTACTAGGATTACAGGCACATACCACCATATTGGTTTTACGTGTGCTGGGGATCAAACCCCAGTCCCTGAATGCTAGGCAAAGTGATCTACCAAAGTGAGCTAAGTTTTTGTTGTTATTGTTGTTTTGTGTGTGTGTGTGTGTGTGTGTGTGTGTGTATAGGTGTGGTGTTGGGGATCTACTAGTGCTAAGCAAGCCCTACCACTGAACTACGTCCCCAGTCTCAAAGTTACCAAGGCAGGCCTTGAATTTGCCATCCTCTTGCCTCAACCTCCCAGGTGGCTGGGACTACAGTCCTGTGCCACAGGGCTCAGCCCTGGTTTTGATGACTCTCAAATTCGTTTTCCAAGTAAGGCTCTTTTCATGGCTCCCCTGCCTTCCAGAATTGCATTCATTACCTTCAGCTTTCTTTTAGTTTGACTGTTAGAGGATCATCTTATTTCCAGATCTTTGAGGGGCATTCTATTGGAACCAAATGTTCCAGCAGCAGTGGGATGTGAGGTGGAATGAAGAGTAAATACGAAGCCACGGGACTTGACGATTAAGAAAGTCAGAACTTTGGGAAGTGAGTGGCGATAGAGTTGAAAGCCCTTAGTGGCTTTCAGGCTAGTAAGGAGGTTGGTGGTCAGAGAACGCAGGAAAAAGGGGAAGAGAGGGCACCACGGACAAACTACAATTCCCAGGAAGTACTGCGCGGCCGCAGGCAGAAGTGACGTAAGGCGCCAGCCGCGACCTTTGAAGGAAAAAGGAAGTACTTGGGCGTCGCAGGACCGGAGGCGCGGGGATAGGTAGGTAGGGGCGCGGCGCGGGAGACTGGCGGGTCTGGGCGGCGGGAGGCTCAGTGGACCGGAGCCCGGTGTTCGTGTCGTCACAAGGCGGTGGCGGCGGCGGCGACGGCGGCGACCGCGACCGCCCCTGCTGAGAGCGGAGCAGGCGGCCTAGCCACCTAGTAATCGGTCTTCTCCCGGCGTCTTGTCTGCACAGAGAGCACCATGTCCGCGGAAGTCCCCGAGGCAGCGTCGGCGGAGGAGCAGAAGGTGAGTGCGCGTGGGGTTACCTGGCGGGCCTGAGGGAGGCGAGCCTGCCAGGACTGGCGGGAGCGCGGCCTAACCGGCCTGGACCGCCCGGAGCGCGGCCTGGCTGGACCTGCGGGGCTGTGGTCTGGCGGGAGCATTGCCAGGCAGGCCTGCGGCGCTATGGCTTGCGGGAGCGCGGTCTTGAGCAGGGCCTGGCGGAGCCCTCCTCTGGCAGCTGCCCACGAAGCTACAGGCGGCCCGGCCTCTCGAGCCAGGGCGCCCACATGCCGGGAGGTTGAGTACCTGGCTAGTCTCCAAGGCTTCGGCGTGTCGGTACGTGAGAGCTCAGGATTCGGGGCCCATGCTCGGAGTCCGAGCTTTTCTTTGAGGTTTTACTTCTTTGGATGTTGTGTTTCCCGCGGATGCGCTCCGGGAGCGTGCGAGGGTGCAGGTCACTCCGGACGCGGTGTCCGGAGTTGGGGGCGGGGATGTAGACCTGGATTGGGGTTCCCTCCGACGGTAGTCGGACCCGAACTCTCCCTCGTCGGTAGTCAGAGTAGAAGTGCTTACTTCTCACTATGCCTGGGAGGCCCAAACGAGGTAAACGTCGATTGCCCAGACCATCTTGGACCCAAAAATATTAGCTGATGTGTTTGCATGTGTTACCTGACCCAAAAAATCCAAAATTAGAGCTTTTGACATGTTTTACTTAATCAAAATTTTCTCGAATCGTAGGGATTTTTTGACCGCTCGTTCGTAGTATTTCACACATAAAGGGAAATGTGTAGGAATATTCCTCTGAATACAACAAGGCCTGTATGTTCATCTGGGCCAGTGCTCACCCTCTTGTAATTATTCTGCTGCCTTACCTTCCCGGGTACGTGAGTCGACTGGTCAAGAAAGAAAAGTCTGTGGTCTCCTGTTCCCTAAATTTTTATGGAGCGTTACCAACAGTTTTTCCTAAAAATCAAACTGCACCTTTAATCTCAGCACTCAGGAGGCAGAGGCAGAGGCAGGTGGATCTTCGTGAGAACTAGGACGGCCTGGTCTACGTAGTTCAAGCCAACTCCAGCCTTATAGTGAGACCTTGTCTTTAAAAAGAAAATTTTAAGCTGCATTACCATAAATGGGATGACTATTGTTTGCAGGTTGTTAGAGCTTCTACTTAAAGTTGCACTATGTCCTTCATCAGGTTGGAGAGTAGATTAGTGTTCTAATCCCATTCCATATGTTCTTAATCCTGCTAACTTTTCCTCCATTGTGGTGGCCCTGTTCTGATTTCGTATTAAGTTACATTAATTGAGAATGTGACATTACTTAAAGAAAAATAGATTTTTTTTTTTTTGTAGTAGGGCCTCTGGGGCCTGCGTGCTAGGCAAGGACTTTATCACTGAGCCTTAGTCCCAAGGGCCCTCTTATTTTGGTGTGCATGGGTGTGTGTCTGTCTGTCTAGAGACCAGGAGACAACCTCAGATGTAGTTCCTCAGTGGTCATCCATCTTATCTTTTTGAGAGGGTGTCTCATTGGCCTGGAACTCACCAAGCAGGTTAGAGTGGCTGGCCAGTGAGCACAAAGAATCTACCTGTCTCCACCTCCCTAGCACAGCACATACTATGAGGCTCAGGGGTTTGTTTTGTTTCTGTTTTTTTTGTCTTTTTGAGACAGGGTTTCCCTGTAGCCCCAGCTGTCCTGGAACTCACTATGTAGACCAGGCTGGCCTTGAACTCACAGAGATCCGCCTGCCTCTGCCTCCCAAGTGCTGGGATTAAAGGTGTGTGCCACTACACCCAAGGCTCAGGTTTTTACAAGGTATCTGGATCCTTATGCTTATATAGCAAGTACTTTACCAGCTGAGCTATTTCCTCAGCCCCTATTTTAGTTTTTTTGTTGTGGGTTTTTTGCTTTTCTTTAATTGACGTATTTTTATTTTATGTGTATGAGGTTGTTTGTTTTACATGTATGAGTGTATTGCCTGCATGTAGGTAAGTGCACCCGTGTCATGCAATGCCCATGGAGGACAGACAAGGCCATTGGATCCCCTGGAACTGGAGTTACAGACAGTTGTTAGCTGTCATGTGGGTGCTGGGATTCGAATCCGGATCTTCTGCAAGAACAACCAGTGTTCTTAACTGCTGAGCCATCTCTCTAGCCCCATGTTTGAGGTTTTTTTGCCTGCATGTACATGCACTACATGAGTGCAGTGTCTGTGGAGGTCAGAAGAGGGTATAAGATCCCCTTAAACTGGAGTTATGAATGATTGTTAGCTGCGATGTGGGTGCTGTGAACCAAACCCAGGTCCTCTGTAAGAGCAGACAGTTCTCTTAACTAGTAGGCCATTCCTCCAGCCCTGCACTTGGCTTTTTACATGGATTTTGAGGATTAAATTCAGGTCATGTTTGCACAGCAAGCACCTTCGTGATTGACCTGTCTGCCTGCCCAGGTCTCAAGTAGCTGAGGCTGGCCACATAGGATGACCTTAAAACTTTTCTTAGTTATCAAGCTGGCCTTGAATTCACTCTGTACTCCAGACAAGCCTTGAATTTCATTACCCTCATGGCCTAGCCTTCCAGGTAGCTTGGGTTACAGGCCTGTGCCAGGAAGACCCAACTGAACAATAAATTTTTGAAGCCATTATAAAGGATTATAATCTTAAAGTAATATTTCCTGTTTAAATTATAAAATATTAATAGTGCTCATTATTGGGTTTGGATTTAGGAACTTGAAGACTATGTCTGTCCTGTCTTAAACACATTGAAATCAAGCTCAGTTTTGACTTGATACACCGTAGTGTGTTATGCGATTTTTCTTTTTTAAGTTTGTGTTGGGGGACCATGTATGTAGAGGTCAGAGAACAACCTGCAGGAATTGGGTCTCTTTTACCATGTGGTTTCTAGGATTGAACTCAGGTTGTCAGGATTGGTGGCAAGCACCTTTAACTACTGAGCTATCTTGTAGCCCCTCTTTATTTTCTGAGGCTGCGTCTCACTCTGTATTAGAATAGCCTAATATGTCTGTTATTGTTAAGGATAACTTGAATGTTTTCACTTAATGATTGTCTATGTAAAAACATTTATTTCAGCTCTTCTGATTTTAGCTGCTGGCTGCTATCATTAATACCAATTAGAGGATGTTGGGGATGTAATTTTTTAAACTGAGGATTGGCTGTAAATGTAAAGCACCTGTGGCCTGGACACTGTGCTTAAACAGGAGAATGTGCAAAGTCACTTTTTTGTTACCATGAACCAATCTCCTGTTTCTTCTATTTGAAAGAGCAGTTACATGACCTAAAACATTGGGTTATTTAGTCTTTGTATCCCCATTAACCTTTTAGTCAAAGCCAAAGTATTCAACTAAAAATATTTTTGTGGTTTTATGGTAGGTTAGCTTGTTTCAAAGTAGCTGGGCACTGCATATAGTAAAAACAAAGTCATTTCTCTCCCTTATGTAGTGTGTACACTCATGTAAGGGAAGAAATTCACAGACCAGTAGAAGTAAAACTAAAAAGCACCAATTTAAAAAAGAAATCAGATAGGCCCCTGTTTTTTATTTGGGATATTCAGTAGATATAGGAATAAAAATGCACATACACATACAATCTTTAAACTAAAGCATAAGCATAACCAATCTATTCATTAAAGCTGATATTGTGCTGAAACTAAATACAACATATTGAGAAATAGTAGCAACTGTTGAAAAGTGCAGTGTTTTTTTAGCATATCAGATTAACTTTCCCTTAGGCCATTTGATGACTTAAGTTCTCCTTTTAAAAGTAAGCTATGAGGTCATTTAACTCTCTAAAATCAAATACATTTTAAATTCTGCTTAGCCAGGCAACGGTGGCTTATGCCTGTAATCCCAGCAGTCAGAAAGCTGAAACAGGAAGATCACAAGTTTAGGACAAGTCTGGGTTACTTAGCCCAATAGAATACAATGAGCCATGGTAAATCAGTACAAAAACCTTAGCTTAGACCCACTTTAAAAATCTGAAAACTAAATATATAATGTATATATGGATGTTGTTGCTTTTTTTAAAAAAGTAAGTAGCAAGTTTTCTAGAGGATATTTTGATCAAACTAAGTGATATATCTTAGAAAAAATAACTAGAACTCTCAACTAATTGTTTCTGTTTATACATGGTGCTTTTGTGCATGGTGAGGGAGAAGAAAACTGTTACACATAATGTTTCATTGTAAAACCTCCTTTCCCATTGTGCTCCTGGTTCTCTCAGAGGCAGTCTAGAATTATGGGATGATGCTTAATCATCTACCCAGCTTGGTGACCTTGGACGAGTCCCATTTAGGAGTAAGTTTATCTGTCAGTACAAGCTCACTAGCCTGGTGTTCACCCCTCCTTCATCACATTCCCTTGCTTCATCATCCATAAATCTTGCCCACGTGGTTCTGCTGTCTTCTTGGTGCTTCCTTCATCCTCAGACAAAACCTGCTTGCCCAAATCTTTGTTTGTCTAAACCCTATATTCCTTTGCATCCCCTGCAGCATCTGGCACAGGGTGAAGCAGCCTTTTTTCTTTAATCAGCGTTAGGCTTGGTTACATGTGGCAGGAAAGTGAAAATAGTTGAAACAAGACAGGTTATTTTCTTTCCTGGCAATGAAACATAAAGCTAGCCCAGGACTGGGGGAGCTGTTCTAAGATGTTAGAGACTCATGTCCTGCTGTGTTGCTGCTCCACCACGCTTAGCACGTCAGCTCCTGATCTAGTATGGCTGCCCCAGTTTCAGACATTGTAAGCTCATTAAACCAGGAGAAAGGACAAAGAGGGCAAATGATGTATTATTCTCTCCCTCCAGGGAGGCTTCTCAAATGTCACACATGACACTTCTGCTTATATCTTATTGGCTGGAACTTAGTCACCTGGTTAAATCTAGCTGAAAAGGCTGAGGGATATAATTTTAAACTGGACATATTAATGATAAAAATGATAGGAGAGACTGTGCTGCATAGTCATATCTTAGTCAATGATGTTTCTATGTCAGTGGTCACTATCGCCGTGTGACACAACTG